TCATAACCACAGCAATAAGAACGGAGACTTTGGTGTTTTCCAAGTGTATGTGAAGAATCAGCCCTTACCTAAACTGGTTCCCTGGAAAACTCTGATGTTTCAGGTAAAGATCCACTTGTAAACATGCTCTATTCTGTTGCAGATACACCTGTGCCACATGGCAAAAAAACATAAAGTGGCTGCCACGCTCCATAGTTCTCTTTAGATAAGATGCTTATCAAGAACATACACAGAAAGCAGGCAGAAGAAATCATTAGGAAATACACTCCACTTCGGTTCTTTTAAGCTGAAACACTCTCTGCTGTATCCTCTTCATGTGGCAAGTAGCTGTTTCAGGTACTACTTTTCCACCAACAGACTCCCTTCTCCTTCAAAGGAGCTTAATATTCTTTGCTGGTACATAGAAGAGAAAGTGAAGGAGTTAAGAAGGAGTATGAGAAAAAGGCCAACAATTAGGGAAGGGAAGGAGGAAGAGTGAAAGATGTGCACAGAGCATGTCAGGGAGCATCAAGGGGCAGCTGCTCTGCAAGGGAAGGTGAGCTGGGAACAAGCACAGTAATAAGGCTGGCATGAACAACTTCACCACCGAGAGCCAGGATGTAACGCAGCAAGTCTGGGTCAGGGCCAGAGATGATGGTCAGGGCCAGACACAGTCTCAATCACCCAGCAAGTCTGTAGTGATTAGGTAGGACTGTTCCTTGCCAGGAAACTAAAACTCGTCTGAATCTAACCTAGATGATCTAATGGTGGGATTATCTGCTTATGAAACAACAAGAAATGCATTTCCCCTTCTGCTGACCAGAAGACAGAACTTCTTTACCTTAGAGAAGAGACTGGCCACTCTTAACACATGCTGCCATCGTGCACAAAGCAGAACACTGCTATCACACTGAGGGCAATGCTAGCATTGCAGGGAAAATGCAGTTCCTAGAACAGATGAAAATCCACGTATCAAGCACAGGAAGACTTGGGCTATCACTTTCATGTGATTCTGGTTTCCTGTCTCTGTAGTCAGCCTCAACATCCTGTTTTTTTAATAAAAAAACCTTACATTTGTAAGAGCCAGGATTTTCAGGGTCTTGTTTCAAAACCTATGTAGACAGTTATTATCCAGAAAAAATGATGTGGATGGAGAAGCCAAAGTAAAGTCCAAGATCTCATCCTGGAACCCTTACAAGAGGGTTAAATTAAATAGGGATAACGTAAACAAAATCAGGTTATCAGAATTTTTATTTGCTTACATGAAGGACAATTAAGAAAGAATAAATGATGTAAAAGAGACAGTATTTGAAATACCTACCCAAGCAGCATTCTTATTGTACAGATGATCTGAAATCAAAGAATAGCAAAAAAAAGAAAAAAGAAAAAGACCCTTTAAGACATTATTAATGCTATCTAATCACACTGACTCATACTAGACCGACAAATCCATTTAGAAATTCTTAATAAGGATAGATAAAATTAGTTTCTTCTATACTTAATCCTATACATGCATTTAAGGCTACCCTAAGCCCTTCATGAAACTTAATGGCATCTTTTAGCCCTTTTCTATTCAATTTATTAAAAATTGCAGAGCTTAAATGTGAAAATCTGTATTAATGATACATTAAGACTGCAGAGTTATATGAAATAAATCAGAAATACTTATTTCTCAAATATACACTCCAGTGATCATGACATGACATTACTTTTTGCTGTGTCATATAACTCTACCTTTACATATATAACATTACTATCCTAAGAATCATACATTTTGAACTTTCTGGCTTTCAAAGGCAATCTGAGTCCTTACCATTGCATTAGTATAGACTTTAGACTTCTTTAATTATTATCATCTTTAGACCAAAATGAAGGAAAATATCTTGACCTACATTTGAAGAGACAAAATAGCCTGAGAGAGAAAGAGCTTTTGCTGCAGGCTTTTGCATGATTTCTGGTTTTAAAGGACAGTTTAAAATACACTCCAAGTAAACTCAGAAGAGTCATTATTATAGAAGCAGAGGCTGTAGAAGAACCACTCAGCTTGATATCAGCAAAAGTAAAATGCAACTAGAGCTGGACAGGAGGATTTTACGTTGAAGATGTAGGTAGATAGGAACATCTAGAAGGAGAAAAGACTATACAAGACCTCATGAGATTGCCTAGGAAAAATAGTTGTGGCAATGAGTATTGTAGGTAAAAAGTCTGAACTGCAGCAAGAGGAGCAGAAACGGTCTGCAGAAGTCATGACTCCTAGAAAGCTGACAGTAAAATTTTGCTAGAGGCACTTCTGTAATTTAATGTTTGTTTTTCTTGGGGGGGGGAACAACAACAACAACGGGATATTTTTATCCCTGCACTGAAAATGCATTCAACTTTCTAAACAGGCATATACTTTAGCCGTACCATTCTTTGCTGTTCACAAGAAAGCTAGCAGATGAGAGAAATCACAGAATCACACAGCACTGACAGCTGCCTGTCTCAACTCATTAATTGGCCTTCTCTTCTTGGTCCCTATTCTCCATATTTGAACAGTTCCTATTGTCCTTTTCACCTTTTTCTTTTTTTTTTCCTCCTTCTTAAACTGTATTTTCCTAATTTTTTTCTTATTTTTCTCCAAATAGTATCATTTTGCCAGACAAGATGGTATGGCACCACTTTTTGTATTACAAAGAAACACTTTCCTTGTTGACGCAGAGACAACCCCAGAGCTAATGACTCCTTTGGTGAAGTAAGGATGATTAGTGCTGACCAAAAGATAGAATGTTTTCCTCTCACTCCCCTGAAATTATATCAGGCTCTATGTGGAGGAATAGATAATTAATATTTCAATAGAAACAAACCCATAATTTCTAAATCCAGATGGCTTTTAAGTATTACCTACATGCATATGTGAGGTGAACTTTTTCCTTTTTTTGAGTTCTTCATAAAGCAAGGACACAATCTAAAAACTTTTCTAAAAGACAAGTTTTTCAATAACGTAATACTGGATACAGTATAGGGTTCAAGTTTATTATCCACATGAGATCCATAACCTATTAATACAGTACTGTTAAATAATGTCATTCTTCTCATAAAGTATATATTTTCCAGCTGGGTGCAAGTTAAAATAGTTTGATATTTATGTTCTTTTAAGACTGAAGTGCAGATGGACATAAAATTTGTCATGAAGCCCAGAAAAAAAAGAAGTCTCCAGGTGGCATTTTTCTACCACAGCAGTCACATACAATTCAATATATGCTCCAGAGCATTTAGTTCTTCCAAAAACAGTGTCAGCAAAATTTCTGGGTCTCTTTCATGAATATTTTAAAAAATTTATCAGGCTGAAACATGAATGTTCTTTAGCAAGAAGGCTGCATCTTACCGCTGAACGATTAGCAAGTGAAGAGAACAGCAGCACAGAGCTGTAAATAAGTAGATTCTAGCAATACTTCTATTGCATACCTAACTGGATCAACATTTTACTAATGGGGTTAAATTTCAAACATTCAAGGAGCCTCAAAGTCCTGACATTTTGGGGTCTCACACAGAAAACATACACATTGCTGACAACTCAAGTGATCTGCTGATGGTAGAGCTCAAGGACACTGTCAGAAATTTGTACTACAATATTGTTGCCTGAAGGATCTCTCTCACTTTCAACAACTCTGGGAGCTATTTCAGAGAATTCCTGGCGTCTCTGAACATGAGAGATTTCACAAAAGTGAAAGCACTGTAATTCAGAAAAATAATTTTATAAAGTTTTACTTAAAAAAGCACCTGTTATACCTCATGTTTAACATAAACCTGCTGCTAAGGATATTGACAAGTTCAGCACACAATGAGCACACAACAAGTAGTGGGGCTTATGCATAGAGCACGATGTATGATATGCACAACTCTACCAGACCAGCATATATTCTATTTCTTATCACTGTACGACAGTTACTAATGTCAATAACAGCAGCATTATTAAAAAATTTTGCTGTGGCACACAGAATCTTATGATTCCTGTTTTTTGAGCTAAAAAAAATCCTCTTTTTCTCAGTGTCTTTTCCTCTAAGGCATATTAAAGTAAAATTTTGAATTTATGCTGTGCTGTCCTTCTCTCCCACTAAATTATCTAAATACAGGAGCTCAAACTGAGAATTCTTTTTTTCCTTGAAAAGACTCTACACATAACCAGTTTTCAGTTTTTTTTCTTTTACGTAAGAATTTTCCTAATGTGACAAATATGAAAAAAATGGACACTACCTATCCATTGATAAAATAGAAAACAGATATTGCAGGCAATTTTTTTTTCCATTTGTGCATCTCTGTCACATTAAACTAACCAGAATTTTTTTTAGCAGTCGCATACTAAACTACTGGCATGTTTACATTATGAACAATAAGTTGAATAACAATGCCTGTAAAAAGCCTGGTCCCCAGATTTCACGTTTCATCAGTCGCATTTTATGATTTATTTTAAAAAAAAAACAAACAACAGCAAATCCCAGAAACTCCAAGGAGACTTACAGCACTTTTGCATCAGGCTCTTTACAAACATTACAGAAACACAATCTCCAGGGCAGAGAGCTTATAATCAAACACGCTGCTCCTAGAGGATTTGGGCACACATACTGTAAGCAGCCCAACTGCTGTCAAGCCTGGCAAAGTACTTATTCAGATAGATATAAATGGATCTGATTACAGTTTCACTGAACTAATTTTAAACCACTCAAACTCGCTGCATTTAAAGGCAGAGAAGTTCTGGGTCAACAACAATCCCAGCTTCCCAACAGCTTTGCAGATGTGGGTGTTTCAGGAGCCATTGGTAACAGAACAGCTTGAGGCACTGGGGCCTATACACGTGGGAGGGGATGAGGTGCTCTGTTCTAAGGGCCTTCATGGTTTAGTTCTTACAAGGCAGGATATGTCATCTATACCAAAACCCTTAGCCAAATTCCAAATCAGCTTCCATCCCAGTCTGGCTGGATAATGTACATTAAAAAACAAACAAACAATCCTTATAGAAAAAGCCTTCTGCACCACTCGAAGCCATGTGGGGAACGACGCTGTCAAAAGTGGCGGCCTCCCCGTATGCTGGGACTGGGACTTCCTCTCCTGACACACCGCTGCCTATGTGAGTAGGGGCAGCCGGTCTTGCCAGCCAGTCACCGGAAGAGACGTGGGTAATGATGGAGAAGAAAATGGTGGCCCCCTGCCACAAAATGGCAGACCCACGTGTAAGTAGGGGAAAGGCTTTCCAGATCTAATATACTGTGGGTAAGCTGGTAGGGTTTTTTTCATTTAAAAATCTGCACCTCCTTGATTGCCAGTTTGGACTGTGCCCCTAATAGGACAAATGTTGGTCACACAAATACAGGACTAGGACTACCTAATACAAATTACCAAATTCACCTGAAAATATTGCATATTAATGCCTTAGCTCGCTCTCTCTTTTAAAAGCATTATTCTGTTACAGAAGCCAGACTTTTATTTAAAAATTCTTAACATAAATGCTCTGGTGTATTCTCCCTGCCACAGTCCTCAGGTAGCTACACATTCCAGCCCATGAATGACTTAGCTGGGCAACACGATGCCTTGAGCTAAAAGGAAAGACATACTGACAGAATTATTAGTCTTTACATATTAGTATTTTCCCTATTAGTCTCCTTGTTGGAAAAGCATTCTGAACACAAACTTTATTAGAGAAACCAAGGAAATAATTTGTAAATATTCTGTAATAGGTTTGTGTGAATGCCAACAATATTTTATTTTCCCAATAAATAAAATAGGGACTGTAGCAATAAATAAATAAAATAGGCACTGTGGTAGGGACTGCCTACCACAGTTGATAGCGTTTAGGAGACACACTCAAAGTACAGCTGCCCAGAACGATACTGCCACTGCTCTGTATGGTTTGGGAAGTCAAGGAAGGGTCAGAAGAGAAGCTCTGAGATAAATTAATCAGATTTCTTTTGAACACCAAAAGCAATGCCAATGTCTGAAATGATGTCCCCATGCACTCTAAACAACAGTCCTCAAATTTTGAATTTGAGAATTCTGAATCCTGATAGGACCACTGGCTCCATTGTGGTTATTAACACACTGCAGAAAACTTATCACTTTCTTGTAAAATATTTTTCCTCCATGAAAGCAAATGCAGAGCGGGAGTTGAAAGCAAAAATAGCATGGACTGGCAGTAAAAATGCCAATAAGCAGATTGTGGACCTCTGCACACAAAAATGAGTTCACTCATCCAAGCAATTTTAACTCAAGCCTATATAGTCACTGCACTGAGTCACGCATCAGACATGTTTTCTATTCAGAAGTGGGGACAAAGTATCAAGAGTAATGTAGGCTTTTTTCTTCTTCCCCCTCTACCCCCCCCCCCCCCCCCCCCAAAAAAAAAAAAAAGGCACATCAGCATATTGGAGAGATTTCAAGGAAGAACAGGAAAAATCATTAAAGACTTTGAAAGGAACTAATTTCTGAGAAAAATGTAAAATACCTAGCAGCTTGTAGTCTTGCTAAAGGATGAATGAGAAGATATATAACTGACAGTCAATATGTACTGGACAGATTTAAGCAACAATGATAATGTATTTAGAAGCTGTATTACAAGAAGAAAATACAGCTGAAAAAATTAAGATTTAAATTGGATACATAACTGTGAGGTGGGAGGTCTTACGGAAAATCAATGAGACTGTGGATATTGTTTCATGACCAGGTTAAACAAGCATAAAACCAAAGTGCTGCTGAAAGGATAGGCCCACTATTCCCTCTACCCCCATTCCCCAAAGAAATATTCATTCTGTGTAAGCAGACCAGAGAGCACTCATGACTTCTAATGCAGGCCCTAGACACATGTCATGTGCTAGATCTACCATCTCTTGTTATCGCTGTCCTTTTCTTGTAGAGGCTGGGGAGGCTGCTCTGTAAGGGCTCACAGAACACACGCTCTTTCTCCCTTCCCAGCACCTTACTTATCCTGTGGTTATACAGAATGAATATTGCTTTGGTGAGCTAACGAGTCAATTGGCATCATCTTGATTAATAATCACAAAAGAATGTGTCTTCTTAAGTCAAGAGGTAAGAAGACTTTGTCCTGCTGTATTAAAAGACAGAATACAAAATTTATGACTCCCTTTCTTGACAATAAGAACACATCAGGCTTAACTGAGGGAGGAGTATAAGCAGCTACTGAAGTTATAAATGAAACTCATTCAGAAACAATATCCTACATCATTGCATATACTGGAAAACAGGTTCTACATTAGAACAATGACAGAATAACAAATATACTGTTTGTTTATTTGACTTATGATGAAACTATTCAATGAGGAACAAGGTGAAAGGTGGGAAAATGCCTCACTGAGGCAGGAAAGTGAAACTGCAGTGGCATTTCAATCTTCAATTCTCTTCCCACAGCAAGTTTAATGGAAAGACCTGGAAGAGAGCAAACAAATAATAATCTCCCCACCACCGTCTAGAAGGTGCACACCACAAACCTTGTTTCTTCCAATCAGGCAGCTTCAGTAATGAAGCAAATTAAACTAGATGCCTTTGTGCCTAAGTGTTGTGGTTTAACCTCAGTTGGCAACTGAGTACCATACAGCCGCTTGCTCACTGCCCCCCCACCCCCCACCCCCGGTGGGATGGGGGAGAGAATTGGAACAGTAGAAGTGAGAAAAACTCATGGGTTGAGATAAAAACAGTTTAATAATTGAAATAAAATAGTAATAGCAATAATAATAATAATGTAATAATAAT